TATATTAAAAAAAAAATTTTATTGATAAGATAAGAAAAGTAAGACAATGTAAAAAATATTAAAACAAATGTGGAGACTGATTAACACATGTGTGGAGACGTTTTTGCTTTCCTTTTGCCAACTAGAATTAGCATGTTCCTTTTTGTTTTGTCTTAATCGATGGTATTCAGTCTTTGCACTTTAACTCAACTAACTTTTCATTAGATTTGCCACCTTTTTTCATATTGATGTTAATAGAATGAAGACATGAAGAATTGAAAAACATCAATTTGTATCACAATGATACCATGTATTTGTAAATAGTTATGTCGACATATTGGCATAAACAAATGTGTGCCAAAGGTGACGCTAATTTATTTTTCTAGATAAACTGTACAGTTGTACGCGTAAAAATAATCTGGCGTATTCAAAATTTAGCTTAATCACTGGGGGTGAAGTTAAGGCTTAACATAAATTAGCGCTTCATAATTATGTCCCTTCAGTGTAATGGATTTATTATGTAAATAATTTAATTCTTAGAGATATTCATTAATTAGTGCATTGTTGGCAGCGCCAAATCCGCTAAAATATGAAGACCGAATTTTAAAGAACACATACCGTATTTCATTAAAATCAACATTTTGTCAAATCAATGGTATGAGAAGAAATTGTTGTTATTGATCAAAACAATAGTTTTATCTGATCAGCATTTTTAATTTTCAAATACTGTAATTCAAGGTAATTACATCCTCCTATTATGCCATAGGTTTTTGCTAAAACTGTAGTTAGTTTAAACTCATACCTAATAAAAAATTTTCTTTTGGAAGAATACTTTACAATAGGTGTAATGGTAAATATTGTTAAATAAAAAAAGTCTAAAAATGCATATTTACTTTATTTTATCAATTATTCAATCTTTAAAAAATGTTGGCAAGGGCAGTAACTCATTCTTATGCCTCTTTATTCAGGCATTTGCTTTATTGTTCTTCTAATGTAAAATAGTTTCCCTGATATCCACAATTCAAAATTATCTAATATAGGGAAGTATTTAGAAACATACAGCATCAGAATTATGCATTTTAACCATTTTAAAAAACATTTTTCATGATACTGTTTACCAAAAATGTGCGATTTTTTTTAACCTGACATATATTTTTGTTTATTTAATTTGCATATCTTAAATAATATTGTGACTTGCATTTTCTGGCAATAATTAAAAATTTTGAGTATATCAAATGAAAATAAATGCAGATTTTGTACTTTTTGTACTTTAAACATTAAAATTGTGAGGGTGAAAAGGTCTTAAGTGCGAATTTAACTTTTACTTCACATACATGGTACTCACAATGAATTTTATAGTCAACCCTGATCTTGAATTTTAGAACTGATGTTTATTGATGAACTTTTACTAAAAATTAAAATATAAAATGATTGTTCAAAGAAAGATAACTACACACTAATTTATGGTTTAAGTACCGATAAAAATACATAATTGGCAAAAATTAACCATTTAGGAGGGATATAACGAAATGTTGTCATCAATGAAAATTTAATATATAGAGAAGAAATAAAATTATCTTCATATTTGGAAAACAATTGTGTTTAACATGAACTTATGCAGACAAATCGACACTGCTTGGAAAAATCCCGTCTGGTTAAAGTCATTTTTCCGGAAAGTCATGTTTCAATGAAATAGTACATTACCCAAAAATTTTGTCCGGAAGGTGATGCATCGGGATGAATAGCATTTGGATAAATACCGTGCTGCAACTGTATATGAAAATGATGAAAAAAGAAATACTGAATAGTTTTACATATTTTAGTAAATTGATAATTAATAAGAAAGTTAATTTTTGACAAGTTTAATTTGGTATATATGTGCAATTTTTGAGAATTTATTTTCTCTCTTAGAGAATCTTTCAGTGATTAAAAAAGGTCATTTCATTTTTATTCATAGAGAATCTTGCTTTACGTAAATCAACATGGCAAAATCATCCCTATAGCGCCTATTACAGTTATATCAAGTCTGCTAATGCAGTGGACGGGAGGTTTTCGGACAGGTCTCTTAATGGAGGGCAATGTGTAATATCGGGAAATCAAAAACAAACTGCTACCTGGTGGGTGAATCTATCTGGAATTGTCAGCATTCACCATATAACAATCTACTACAGGACGGAAAATTTGCCGTGGGGTATCGTACTCAAAATCATCAATTTAACTAAGTTCATATTCTATTTAAATTTTACAATGCTCGTTGGTAAAAAATAATGCTTTTTCTTTATTATTTTAAATAAAAATTTTAATTGATCAGGAATTGATAAGGTGGTGTAATTTCCACTGTGAAATATTTGTTTACGGTGGGTATTATTTTGAAACATAATTTATTTATGTACAGTTAAAAATTTTTTTCGGGTATAAAATGTAATAACTTTCAAAATACAAGATAAGATAATTCACTCGTAATAAATATGTAATGACAAAGATATTCCATAGCATTAAAGGTTCTTAAGGTAAAAAGTTTTTTTCAGTACCCCCTCCCCCCTCCAAAAAATTGGGGAAAAGGCACAAAAGAAACCTTTACTAATTATTTTGGCATGTCTTTTTTAAAGATAAATATCAACTATTTTAGAGCAAGTTGCTGAAATGTGATCATTGCACACTGGCAAGACATTGTACGAAAATATTTGTAAAAGTTATTTAGTCTGATGTTTAAAATAAATTATATTTAATATTATTAACACGAATATATATTTATATCATTAAGTGTTTACAAAAAGAGATAATAATGAAAAAGCACCACACATTTATATTGATTTAATATATTGCACTAGATATATCCAATGGTTACCCTTCCCGCTTCCTTGGTTTTTCGGTTTACATATCGAACACCACCAAGAAAGATGACGGCTATCTATGTTTTAAAGACACAAACTACACTAGAGAAACGATACCGAGTAATATTACAATAGAATGTATAAAGCATGGACGGTACGTCATCTATTACAACGAGAGACTCCCAGGAGTTACCTACCCTGAAGGATATTCGACATACGCATTCAATGAACTCTGTGAAGTCCAGGTTTATGGTAATGATTTATAAAATATCTAGTTTATTCTGTACAATAAATACTTTATGATATATTATATAATTGGCGCTGTTTTGGAAGGTAACAGTGGAAATTGACACCCCATGGAAAACCATTGTCAACCAATACAATGAAGAAAAAAGCTGAAATACTTGCCCTGTTATCTAATCTAATAGATCTGTGTTTTTCAAGAGGATATCTTTATCTATGTTTATTTGACAGTGATTTTTTGCAAGCTTGACTCTGTTTTCAAAAAATGAGCTCAATACCCAATTTTTGTTTAAAATCATTTTTAACTTGTTACTGTTATTTTAAAGGCCTATTTTTGAAATCTTTAAAAATACAATGTAATACGGAATTAAAACAACGCTTACTTGAAGACACGAACGCTTGAGAAGAATTTGAAAAACGTTTATTTTTACACGAAACGCTACACGGTTTGCACGAAACACTACACGGTTTACACGAAACTCTTTATCCATGGGGTGTCATGATTTTAAAAAAAGGCTTGAGAAACGTTTGTACACGTTTCTCACACGCTATGTGGCCCCACTGTAATCTGAGGGTCGTTTTGGAACAAACTTGATTCTACTCGGAATATCTCGGAGGATTATTCCATGTATGATCAATCAATTTTGCTCTTCACAAAGAACATTTAGCACCTGTTTAAATTTTCCCTCACTATATAACATAAACCGATAGAAATATTTAATACCCTGACAGTTATAATTAATTAATAAATTTCTTCTCGTATTTATTTATCAATTTATCCAGCTTTAAAAACGAAATGCCGATATCATGAAAGTTTTAAAATACTTTTATTTATTAGTCATTCTCTTGATGTAATAATTTTACCAGATATTTTAATAATTTTTTCACAAATTCTTTTCTTACTGCAGGAATATAAACTCATTGATTGTAAATGATATTGATTATATTGACACACTAGAATTCCCTTTATTCAATGATACTTTGTAGCAATTTTGGTTGAAATACGGTCCAGTTGTTGAAACAAAAATTTTAAAGATGTTTTTTAACCTACGTAAGCATTATCTATAGGATCAGAAACCGCTCAAAGAGAGGGGTCGGGTCAAATGAGCTAAATAGCGAATACTATTCCTTTCCAGTTTACTAGTATGCAGTACAAATTGGGGAGCAATCAAATTGTTTTCTTTATAGTGCTGTAAAATCCTGGTTTTCACCTCCCATATTCTAATTCTGATGGATATGTGAACATTAATTATATAATAGTCGCGGACAAAATATTCAATATATAAACAATACATACATGTAGAACTTAACTTAAGCTAGTAATTACTATTCATTTAATGAGAAAAATGTTATTCCATTTTAATATTAATTTACAATTATTCATGATTTACGCCTCAGCTTTTCTTACATGATATTCATGAAAAGACTACCATTGCATTTCCAGTTTACTGTTTACAGCTTCGAAATGTATTTGACATAAAGGATAAATCAATCTGATTTATAATTTTTAATGATATAAATATTTATAACTGAACCATTTTATGCTGTGAAAAACAATACAATCCAGTCGCTCACTTGCCTCTAAATACACGCTCCTACATATTGGGCGGCTTTCAAAGGAAATAGTCAAAATAATTCTATAATTTACATGTATTAATCAAATTGATTATGAAATTCTCAGACCCTGTGACCTATAACTCAGAACCTCTTATATTTATTTTATACATGCTTAATTCATTATATACAAGTCTGAATTTTATTAATGATGTAAATTCATGCACGGATCTGTCAGGGGGGGGGGGGGGGGTCAGCCCCCCCCCCCCCTTGGAATTTACAAGGTTAAAAAATGTATACACTAAAACAAGGAAAAAGTTACAATGGACCCCCCTTTGAAAATGCAGATCCCCCCCCCCCCTGGTAAACACGAATATGTGTAAAATAGGTATGAAAAGTTAAACATTTGCGGCAATAGAAGTCACCACTACCCCTTACCCACCTCCACGATATAGGTTTTTGACGTTTGGGTGAGATTTACTTTAGGTTTTTTTTTGATTGTCAATTTCTGGGATAGGATTTTTTTTGACTGAGGTGGACCTCCCCCCCCCCCCCCCCCCCCGGAAAAAAATTCTGGATCCGCGTCTGAAATTATATTTGTTTTGCTCATAATAGGACCTTTTTAAATTTACTACCCCCCCCCCCCCCCCCTCGACGCCACAATCACACAGCACATACTTTTTGGAATAGGCTAGATGGAAAAGGTTTGTTAAAATTTAATATCGTTTGTAATGAATTAATTTAAAATTTGTTCTTGTACTATACATGTGAACATGTAAATTTCTACATTACATCACGTTGCGTCACCCATTATGATATTTATAGATTAAACACCATTTGGCACACCTCGGCCGATTCCCACTTCATCTGATAAGGTGACGGAATCGACGAAAGTTCGCCAAAATGGCACATGGTTGCAGTCTGGTGTGCATTGGATTAATTCATTTTGTGTTATAATTGGATTTATATTTCATGAAGTTTACGAGACACAGGGAGTCGGTAAGTAGAAGTCAATGATTAGGTTAAAGTTTAAAAAGGGTCAAAGATCATCCCATGCCACACTAGACGAATTTCATATTGTGAAGTTATCTCCCATTGTCGATGTGACATTCAGTTACTGCCAATACTGGTGCGGATCCAGAATTTTTTTAGGGAGTAGGGAGGGGGGTTCACATCTAAGTCAAAAAATTCCAGCCCAGAATTTCGTGACAAGCAGGAGAAAAAAAATGAAAACAAATAAACAAATAAAAAAACAATGATAGGGAGGTCAATGTTTTCTAAGTTTATAGGGAGAGGATGTCAAGAGTCATTTTTTACTTGCTACAGTATATAGTCTTGTTTAAATAACAAAGCAAATGCAAGATGGGGGGGGGGGGAGGGAGGGGGGGGATTCCAATCTTCCTACCCACTTCCTGTCCCTGAAATAACAATCTATTTTGTGATTCCAGTTTAATAGTATATTTTTTTTCCATTTGACTAATTATTATACATGTACATATTTTGTTTCTTGTGTTTATAGTATGTCTGTCTATAAGTCTGCAAAAATTAAATCCTAGCTAGCTTGCCCATAAGTTTTAAGTGGGATGGGCTATACATATAGCTTCCACATTTTATAGGTTTATTTCTTGTGACAATTTAATAAGACCTTTTATTTGGGTACCATTAATTTTTACCTCTGATCGCTTGACATGGGATACACATTTTTACAAGAAAAATACCAAACTTTAAACTCTGCCTAATTTTTGATCAGTAGGTGCTAGGGCTTTCATACTTATCATGACATATTGTATTCATTTTGAACTGTCAACAGGAAATATGTTTGACCTTGACCCTAGAGTTTGAACCACTTAAAAAAAAAATTAACCTTGGCAATTAACTTTTGAAAAGGAATTACTAGAGATTTCTTTATTTAACATAGACTTTCTTCTGACACTAACAATTTGAACCCTTGACCTTTGAGTTTGACATATATTTGAGAAACTTCAACCTTCGCCATAGGCTTCCATACTGGGACATCAGTGTTTCACAAACACATCTTATCTACATTATTATTTGGTGGTGTCTCCATATGAGGGAAGATGTATTCACAACAAACAAACAAATTACTAAAGAAAATATAAAACATAAATATGTTGGTCATGCATATCTCTGCAGGAAAAAAAACAGCTTTTCAAATACTCCAACCATATTGTAACCCTTTCAAAACACTCATTTGAGCTTTTTTTGTTTCCTTAGCATATAATGTCTGTCGTGACGTGTTGTCCATCTGTTTGTCTGAAAACTTTTTACATTTTTAACTTCTCTAGAACCACTGGGCGAATTTTACCCAATTCATATAGAAATATGTACATTTGTATGTCAGACTCAGTCCATCTGTCTCAAAAAATTTAATCTTGGTTATCACGGTCATATCTACAGAATGAGAAGAGACATTCATATTAAAATTATTATTAGTATATTTACCTGTGAGAATGGCATGTTTTTTTTTTACATGTGACCTAGAAGTTTGACCAACTTGCAAAAAAATTAAGTTGTTATAAATTCATCATTTTGAAAGAGAAAAGTTAGGGCATTCATATCATAATGCATGTTTATTATTACCTGTGATAAAGACCTTTCCAAATATTTTTACACTGTGACCTTGACCTTGAAGCGATCAAGCCTAACCTACTTTTCAAAAATGTTGCATTTGCTTATAACTTTTGATTGAGATGAGATATGACTCTCACATTTGACATGTACATAAATTACTCATAAGAATTCAAGGTGTTTCCCAGCATGCAATGTTTTTTTTATGCGCCCCAATTTTTTAGGGGCGCATATTGTTTTTGTCCTGTCTGTTTGTCTGTTTATCTGTTTGTCTGTTTGTCTGTTGTCAAGTTTAACCTTGGCCAATACTTTTGAACCGTAAGAGATAGAGACTTCATATTTGGTATGCATACTCCTCTAACAAAGTTCTTTCAAATGACATCAAGGTCAATGACCTTGTGACCTTGACTGCGACTTATATGCTAAAAATAGGTTTTTCAAGTGTTGGTCATAACTTTTGAACCATAGGAGATAGGGACTTCATATTTGGTATGCATACTTCACTAAATAGGTTCTTTCAAACAACACCAAGGTCAATGATCATGTGACCTTGACTGTGACCTTTATACTAAAAATAGCTTTTTCCACTTTTTGCCATAACCTTTGAACCATAGGAGATAGAGACTTCATATTTGGTTCGAATACTGCACTGATAAAGTTCCTTCAAATGACATGAAGGTCAATGACCTTGTGACCTTAACGGTGACCTATATGCTAAAAATAGCTTTTTCTACTTTTTGCCATAACTTTTGAACCATAGGAGATAACAACTTCATATTTAGTATGCATACCCCACTAATTAAGTTCTTACAAACAACACCAAGGTCAATGACCTTGACTGTGACCTATATGCAAAAAATATAGCTTTTTGTACTTTGTTGATGCCGGGCGCATAGTATTTCACAAACACATCTTGTTACCCCTTGACGTTGATGTTTTACATAATTTTCAAAATATTTAACCCTCCTAAAAGATTATTAGGCTTCTGAGTAACATTAAGGAAGACTTCAAGTAAGACAGGGCTTTTTGCACAAAAAGCATCATTTTCCGACCCACATTTGACCCCCCGGGGCAAAATCTAAATTCCAAAACCTTACTGCATATCTACATGACCCCACCAACCATCTCCCAAAAGATGATTAAGCTGCTGAGTAAAATGTAAGAGGAGTTCAGGGAAAACAGGGCTCTTTGTTTGAAAAACATTATTCTTCAACCCCCATTTGACCCCCGGGGCAACATCAAAATTCCGAAACCTTACTGCACATCTACCTGACACCACCAACCATCTCCCAAAAGATGATTAAGCTGCTGAGTAAAATGTAAGAGGAGTTCAGGGAAAACAGGGCTCTTTGTATGAAAAACGTCATTTTTCGACCCCCATTTGACCCCCCTGGGCAAAATCAAAATTCCGAAACCTTACTGCACATCTACATGACACCCCAAACCATCTCCCAAAGGATGATTAAGCTACTGTGAAAAATGTAGGAGGAGTTCAGGGAAGAAGGGGCTTTTTATATAAAAAACGTCATTTTTCGACCCCCATTTGAACCCCCGGGGCAAAATCGAAATTCTGAAACCTTACTGCACATCTACATGACACCACCAGCCATCTCTCAAAAGATGATTAGGCTGCTGAGTAAATTGTAGAAGGAGTTCAAGGAAGAAGGGGCTTTTTGTATAAAAAACGTCATTTTTCGACCCCCATTTGATCCCCCGGGGCAAAATCAAAATTCCGAAACCTTACTGCACATCTACATGACACCCCCAACCATCTCCCAAAGGATGATTAAGCTACTGTGAAAAATGTAGGAGGAGTTCAGGGAAGAAGGGGCTTTTTGTATAAAAAACGTCATTTTTCGACCCCCATTTGATCCCCCGGGGCAAAATCGAAATTCCGAAACCTTACTGCACATCTACATGACACCCCAAACCATCTCCCAAAGGATGATTAAGCTACTGTGAAAAATGTAGGAGGAGTTCAGGGAAGAAGGGGCTTTTTGTATAAAAAACGTCATTTTTCGACCCCCATTTGATCCCCCGGGGCAAAATTAAAATTCCGAAACCTTACTGCACATCTACATGACACCCCCAACCATCTCCCAAAGGATGATTAAGCTACTGTGAAAAATGTAGGAGGAGTTCAGGGAAGAAGGGGCTTTTTGTATAAAAAACGTCATTTTTCGACCCCCATTTGATCCCCCGGGGCAAAATCAAAATTCCGAAACCTTACTGCACATCTACATGACACCCCCAACCATCTCCCAAAGGATGATTAAGCTACTGTGAAAAATGTAGGAGGAGTTCAGGGAAGAAGGGGCTTTTTGTATAAAAAACGTCATTTTTCGACCCCCATTTGATCCCCCGGGGCAAAATCAAAATTCCGAAACCTTACTGCACATCTACATGACACCCCCAACCATCTCCCAAAGGATGATTAAGCTACTGTGAAAAATGTAGGAGGAGTTCAGGGAAGAAGGGGCTTTTTGTATAAAAAAACGTCATTTTTCGACCCCCATTTGATCCCCCGGGGCAAAATCAAAATTCCGAAACCTTACTGCACATCTACATGACACCCCCAACCATCTCCCAAAGGATGATTAAGCTAGTGTAAAAAATGTAGGAGGAGTTCAGGGAAGAAAAGTGTGACAGACGGACGTACGGACGGACGGACGGACGGACGGATGAGTAACAACAATATACCCGAACTTTCTTTCGAAAGTGCGGGTTGTACATGTAAAGACAAGGCCGGAGTAACTATTTTTGCTTTAAAAAAAAAAAATTATACATATCTTTATTTGTTGATTAATTTGAACACATTTTTGTACATATAGAAGGAAAAGAAAGAAACAAATATAAATTATACATTACCGTGTAATTTCATTTTGTTATTCCTTTTTTTTTTGGTTTTACTCCTAAAATATCACAAGCATAATTAATTCAATAATAAAATACTAATACAATTTGACATCCTGACCGATCGATAGCCATATTTAAAATAAAATGACTTCCGAATGAATCTTACACGATTCTTGCACGAAAGTCACACGTTTCTCACACGGTTCTTAAACGAAAGTCGCACGTTTCTCACACGCTTTTCGCACGCTCGCTACACGGTTTGCACGAAACGCTTTGGAGCTTACACGAAACGCTACATGGTTTACACGAAACGCTACACGGTTTGCACGAAATGCTGCACGGTTTACACGAAACGCTACACGGTTTGAACGAAACGGAAAGCGCACGAAAGTCACACGCTTTTTTGGGATAGTAGCACGCCTCAGGGTCTGTAGAGCTAAAACAAAAATATATTGAATATGGTCATTTAAAGTATTTTAATATTCAATATAGGATGCCCTTCCTTTGTTATTTTCGGAGAGAATTGTACATTTCCGTGTCCACAGACTTGTCGTGAAGGACGCTGTAACATTGTGGACGGGACTTGTTTTGGATGTATTGCTGGGCAGAAAGGCTCACGATGTGATCAATGTACGTAACTACAAGCCACTCCTGAAAAATTGTTTGGTGAAAGAGAGAGAGAGAGAGAGAGAGAGAGACAGAGAGAGAGAGAGCAAAGGAGAGCGAGATAGAGAGAAAAAACATAGTTAATGATTTGTGCTTTTAAAAAAGTCCTTAAATCGTTTTTTTGTTGTTTTTTTTTTTTTGTGATGATTATAACTCGCTAATTATTAGGTTTTTATTCGGTGTAGAGGAAAAAGCATAATATACCTATATCTGTTACGACATAGAATTTTCCTTTTCACCGATTCAGCAATACATTTAAACTCACACGTATTACTTAATTAGTTGCATTCTCCTTCATTTTTAGGTTTAAGTATATCACAGAGTAATGGCCTATTCATTACAGAAGTGAAGAGCATTTTTAAGGAAGGAACATTTTTTTTATAATGATGTAGGATACTGACTTAGATATCTCATTTATATAAATAATTGAATATTGTTGTCGAAACAATCAATTGACATGTTTGCAATTTCAATCCATCGTATCTTTAGGTCTATGAATGTATGAAGATTTTCATATTTTTTAGGCCATAATCTTTCCATTCAAATATTCACAGATTTTTCCATTAATACGTTCAGGACAATATAGCAAATTAAATATTCATGATGTATTTTAGTTTCTTTTCGTCTTTGTTATTTAGTACAGATTTGGTTAATACAGATTTATCATGCAGTACCAACATCCTTTTAAAGGACAAAAAAAAAAAATCAATAAATATCTATTGTAGGACTAACACATTTTTTTTTTCATTTTTTTTTATCAAAAGAATTTATATAAAAGTAATATGATGTATATTAATTTCATATTCTATTAATAGTTTGTGACGGTGGTAAATTCGGACAAAACTGTGCTCAGTCATGCGGGTTTTGCTTCGGAAATAAACAATGTCATCACATTAACGGGTCATGCTTTAATGGCTGCGAAAGAGGTTACTATGGAAACAATTGTACACAAGGTTAATTAATTAATAATCTAGAGTAAAAATTAGTATATTGTCTTTTTCATCTCCATCACCTTACGTGTACTTTTCAAAGTAATTCATCTTTTTTAAAAAATTAGTATTCGGCCAACTGATGATCATATAAAGGGGGAAAGACACTAAGAAGAACTATTGAACCTTGCTTAGCAATATTACATATACTTCAATACTCTTTTTGAGGACTCTCTTTATTTTTGTCTTAGTATGTCCTGAAGGGCGGTATGGATATAACTGCCTAGACATGTGTGACATCAACTGTGGAGAGCCGAAAAGATGTAACAGGAAAACAGGGCAATGTCAAAATGGTTGTCAGGCAGGGTGGAAGGATATAAAATGTGACAAGAGTAATAAATCTGTTATATATATTACAAATATGTAGAAAAATGATAGTATTTTACAGAAAAACGAAAAATCAAAATCATTGAAATGCAATTATAAATGCACAATATGATTTTATACTTGTACTTAAGATACGTAGAAACTAGTATATTGGTTCCCCTGTTTTACAAAAACCTTTTTAACCAAAATTACTTATTTTTGTGATTTTTATAAGCATTTTTGTACCTTTTATCGTAAATTCTGAAAGTTAAACAATGATGCACTATACCAAAAAATATTAGACATCTAAATTTCACAAAAGAAGGAACAATATTTGCAAATTAACAAACATATAAGCCTAAAAATTAGTCTGAAAACAAACTGTTCATCTCTTTAGAATGCGACGGAGGAACATTCGGACTAAACTGTGCTCAGTCATGCGGGTCTTGTCTTGATAAAGAACAATGTCATCACATTAATGGGACATGCTTGAATGGCTGCGATAAAGGTTACCATGGAAACACTTGTACACAAGGTAGCAAAATATGACTCATTCACATGAGAAAAACGACTTTATCATTCTACAATATTTTTTTTATGAAATTTAAAAAAAAATGCATCAGATATTTCTTAATGTTGATGACACAACACAATTTACGGTTGTGAATACCTTATCATATATGAGTTTGACATCCTGATGAACAGATGTGTACATGCAATATTTTTTAGTCCTTTCCGGTGAAACCAGGGGGGGGGGGGGCCTCTAGGTTTCCACTATATCTGAGCATGTCCGTCCGACCACAGGGGCATCTTATCCACTCTGTTCTCTACTTCACATTTTTATATGTGAAGTAAAGAACAGAGTGGATAAGATGTCCCTGTGGTCCGACCGTCTTTCTGTACCTCTGATTGTCTGTCAGTCTATCCCACTTTGTTTTCCAACACTTTTTAAAACCTTTTTCAGATATTAATTTTTACTTAATCTTTGGTACATAAATACATCTTGATGAGCTACAGGTCAACTTTGCATTGATTTTTGACAGAATTATTACCTTTTCAATTTTTACCAGTTTGTCGTATTTATCTATTTATTTTTTTGGAAACCCTTGAAGATATTGAGCTGATTTTTGGTATGTGACTTTACACTGACAATCTATAGATTAAGTTTTTTCGCTTAAATGATTTTTGTTGAAATTATGGCAGTTTAACTTGTCGGTGGGGGACTTGTATTGCTAATGTAATGCTCGCAGAATGATCCTTTTGTCTATTATACAAAGTATTATGTACACAAAAAGAAAAAAAAATCTAAGAACCATATAATTCTTTTCTTTAAATTTGATCGACAAGGTTTGGTAATAATTATCTAGTATCTCAAAAAATCAGCAAAATATTTAAAGCTTTACGCACTTTTTTAAAATCTCAATAGCTTTCCAAACAAATTATCATCCTATATTTACAATGTTATGGTATAACAGGGCAGCAAAATATATTTTATAAGTAATGTTTGACTTTTTGACTTATTTTAATTTTGTTGCACCAACAAAAAATAAAAAAAACACATATTACTTGGTTGGACTTTGATATACTTTTAAGTGAGCTAATACTATGACAACAATCATTCTGAGAGTATTGCATTAGCTATACGTGTCCCTTATCGGCAAGTGTAAAATGGTTTCCGATAAAAAATTAAAATTCCATTTTTCCGTCAAAAAATCATTCAAACGGAACACAATGCAAAATTGATCTATAATTAATCAAGGTAAAGTCAAATATCGGTACCATAAATGTGCTATATTTTTTCAAGCGTTTAGAAAAAAAGTGTGGAATACCAAGATGGGCCGACAAACAGACAAACAGACAGATAGACAGACAAAGGGATAGCTATAGGGCCGGATGGATAGACAGAAATACAGACAGACGGACAGATAAAAAAAAACTATTATCCCTCCAAATTCACCGGTAGGGGACCAATTGAAAAAAAAGACTGCATTGTCGAAATAGATAAAAAAAAAATACAGTAAAACTGGTTTTATCTGAACACCACCGGTAACAAAGAAATTGATCAGATAATTCAACATTAAAACAATTAAAATTGATACTGCAATGAAAGTAAAGTTCACAATATCCCGATAACACATGGTTCACTGTAAACCATATTAGATATGATAAAAAAGTTTAATAATGTGAAGATATTATACAAATAGTTCTCTCTTGATAATGCAATCTTACTTACAGAGTGCCCGGATGGACGCATTGTATACAACTGTGAGGGATATTGTAGCAGCTGCCCATTTCTGGACACATGTGACGCAATATCCGGGCAATGCAATGGTATTAATATATTTAATCTATGGCATATTTACAATACAATGCCTCTATTGTGCAATTTAACAAATGAAAAACAATCTTTGTTTGATAATAAATATTCTTTGATACTTCACAAATATAATTTTTTTTTTGGGAAAAAAAATTACACCAATTCTCACAAGAAAAGAAATAAATCATATGGACATAATATCTTCAGGAAATAACTTCTCTCGTTAGATCTTACAATTGCTATTTCCCTTATACAAAAGTCTAGTAACAAATTTGTGTACTATTTTTTAAAAGATAATTATCGGACAAAATATGCTGAATATATTTTGTAACGTAAATAATATTTAAATAAGCTACATTACAGAATTTGTTCTAAAAAGCTATAATAAATCAGGCATTCTCTGATTTTGTAGACATTTAATGGATTTTTTTTTTAAATTGTTCAAATTTTATTTGCTTACGTGAGGAAGGAAGTTTCCAATTTTTGTTAAATTATTTATCAGCAAACGCTGCTGTATATCTAAATATTTCCTTGAACAATATCCCTTATCTCGGGTTTTGAAAATACACTAATGAGGGCGAGAGTCAATTATTTCGTGAGGATTTTTTCAGATAAGATGTCGACTAGAAAATTCTTAACTGAATATTTGAAAATAGTAAATGAATCCTTTATTCAAACTCAAAATTTCAAATCTGTGTTATGAAAATGGGAAATTTTATTTATATGCAAACATGTACAGCCGGGTCCTATTTTCTCATAAAGTGAATCGTGCCAGTTTTATTTTATTTCTATGTGAGTTTTGCTTAAAAATTTAGAAATTAAAGCTGAAAAACATTTTCATCTTTGAGCGACTTGCTTCATACCAGCTAAAGCCGTTTTCCGCCATATTTCTTTCATATACCTTGTCTTATTGTAACGATATATACCCCAATGCGCTCTGTACTATTGAATGATTTTTGGGGTCGGCTATCGACTTGTGCACATCTCCAAATAGTAAATCATTTGAGAACATATGAGCTGATGAAGACATTTCAAAACCACAACAGATAAAACAGTCATAATGAAATTCAGAAATAATCATTGTTTTAAATCACAGATGTACAAAAGGAAAAGAAAGGAAATGCAAGTAAAACTTAGTTTCGAGTGTACGTATTTTTACAGTACGCCAATATATGCCGAATGAACTTGAAATAAAAAGCAGCAAAACTCGTAAACACAATTAAGAATTATTCATAATTAGTATAAATCAAACTATTAACATTTTTGCTTTGCATGTTTATATATATGCAGTTGATGCATGTCGAGAAACCGCGTCGAATGCTATTAACCTTTCCATACCTGGTATTAAGATGACTATATTGGTTCTAAAATGTGCACAAGTCAAGTAATATAAACCCTGAATTCTATTTATTGAATTAAACATCGTAAAAAAGTAATTAACTCCATAAAACCCCAAAAGTTAACACACAGTCACTACTCCGTACAGTCTAGCTCGTCAATACACCTAGTCCGTGCTGATCAGATTTTAGTCAGGGAAAGTATAACAAGTAAAAGAATTTATTCAGTATTTGAGTGGCTGAGGAGGGGGGGTTAACTATAAAGTTTTCCTGATCATGAAGTATTACTTAAAATTGTCTAGCTCTAATAAACATATTCATATACTGACACGCAAAAGAAACGCAACACCCTACTTTGGGGGTAATAATTATGTAAAGTAAAGAATTTTGTATCTTAAAATTATGGATATCTTCAATTTGGTAAATATCGGTAATTTAATGGTTGAACGATTTTCGTACCATAACCGGAAGTCAAGGTTGAGTCTGCTTAACAGAAATCAAAAATTGCATGTTTAACAACACATTTGGCAATATTATGGGAGTTTTAAGGGTTTATACTGTTCATCTTAATTAAAACAGCAATATTTCAATAAATAAAATCTCCTTTTGTTTCCTGTTACAATGTTAAGGCTTCTCGAAAATGGCTTAAGTAAGCATTCCCATTGCTCTAAATGGAAAACCTGAACGTAAAGGTAATAGAGAGTTGATGATGCAAAAATACACTGCATTACGCCTCAACGGGGTCTTATGTATCATATGCATAAATAATAGTCCTTGGACCGGAAGTCCAAGGGTTACTACAATGCGCTAAGTTAGAGAAAATTCGACATAATCATCTTAAAAACAGGCATTTAAAAATGGCAAAGAATAATTCCTTTGCTCAGATCTCGATATTGATTAACCTATTGTATCGTAAAAATTAAGCTGCAATTGCTGTTTAGGATATTCTTGCACGTTGTTATTGAATGGCTGGGAGGGGGGTGTTTTAACAGTCATATGTTACTTAGTAAAGTTAAAAGATACCATTTAACATTTTTATCAAGCCCCTGATGTTCTGAAAAGTGAGTCTAGCCTTACTGAATTCTTTTTTGAAAATCATTAGATAAAAAATTCAAACCTTTGCAGATTACTGCTTGTTGCGTTTCTTTTGCGTGTCAGTATATATTATGCGGTTGGTATGCATCTCAGAACTTGTTTATCAATTTTAACTGCTTATTTTAGCTCTTATTATCGCAAATCTAAACCAAGTTATATGATAGACGGAAATTATTTAATTGAAAACTTTAAAATAACCAGAATACAAATTTTCATGTATATATCTTTATATTCTTTAACCTGTTAACACGCACGCGGAAGAAGATCATCCCCTATTAAGATCGACATTTAGGCACTTGCATTGTTTTTTTAAGGGGGGGGGGGCAGGAATAATTGACATGACCATATCAATTTCTTTGAAAACAGACATTTCTGCCACTTCCATTTTTGCCATTTTTTAATGATCCGCTCTGCCCACAACGTGAAAATATTTTGAGGAATGTGATTATTTTATAATTATGCACAGGAAGTCTTTCAAGAATGAGTATCCCTGCCTAACAGAATAATTTTTTTTATAAAATAATTTTTGTGGGACATTTCTGGAGAATTTAAAAAGCTGTAGGGTAGGGCTACTTGAAATCCGGACTATAATTAGGGATAATTTTCAGTTATTCTTTTGTACATTGAACACTCTCTCTCTCTCTCTCTCTCTCTCTCTCTCTCTCTCTCTCTCTCTCTCTCTCTCTCTCTCTCTCTCTCTCTCTCTCTCTCTCTCTCTCTCTGTCTCTCTCTCTCTCTCTCTCTCTCTCTCTCTCTCTCTCTCTCTCTCTCTCTCTCTCTCTCTCT